AGGCGAGTACGGAAGGTTCTAACTCCTCTCTGACAACCCCGACAAAGTGAAGGGACGTGCACAGCAAGTCATCAGACTGTTTTGATGTAGCATCCTCACAGACCTGCTTTGTCAAACTTAGAATTGTATTTAAACACAACATTATCTCACCATAGTTACTCGAAGACTTTTTAAACTCAATTTGAATTCCCTTCAGAACAGATCTGAAGGCTTTCAAGGCAGATTTGCAGGCCAAATTTTTACATTCAGGGGTCAAATGGGTAAGTGACCCTTGACTGACCAGAATATGAATAACTTTTATGGGTAAACCTAACTTTGAAAGATCCCATGGGAGCCACTTAATGGGATAATTCTTGAAAGAGCATTGGGCGCCACTGTTAAGTACAAGAGAAGAAACTCTAGTAGATGAACGACAACTCACGTGCTGACTCAGTTCATTATCTCCGTCTCTGTTGTTTAATAGAATGTGGTCATCGAGAAGATCTAGGCAGATGTTCCAAAGCCACCTGTTTTTATCATCTGTCCCCATTTGAAATACAACTTCAAGGATAGGTTCTATGACAGTCTTTAAGACGATCTGGCAGTTAACTGCAAGATCAAGTTTATGGAGCAGATAGCACCATGTGTTCAGGCAGGAAGAGCGTACCGATATGTCACACTTACTTGACAGAATTCCTACTAAAGGTGTCATAATGAGCCTCAAACTTTTTGAAAGGCTAACTTCCATGTTCTCATAGTTACATCTGTTCAATGTCATGGACGACCTTTGCTGCGCAACATGCTGTAAAGCCTTTCCCATGTTCTCAAAATTACAATTATCCAATGTCATGGACGATCGTTGTTTAGCAACGCACTCTAAAGCCATTATTTCGGGTGGAGGTTCTGATGGATGATGAATAAGCGCATCAATAAGACCTTCCCAGGCAACCTGCACATTACTGACACATTTAGACACTGTAAATTAAACAATTACATCTGAACCTATTAGTCTCTAATATATTTTTTTGAAAACGAGTTAATAAAAAGAAGGAATCTTTCAGAGTACATCATTCAAGATTCAAGAGTGGGCATATCAAGCAGAAGACTTTTAAAGTTTACTACCTGAGAGGCAGTTTGAACTTGTGGGTCAAAATCAGAAAACGTCTGCTCAGGAATTTTCAGCATTTCATTAAGCAATTGCCTGTTTTTCAAGGCATGGGATCCAAGTAAGCGAATATACCATCCCCAAGCTTGAATGGTATTAACCTTTCTCCCACGGTCTTGGATGACTTCCTTCATCTCAGAAAGCAATTTTGTCTTCATATCTACAACAAGAGCCTGTTCACACAAAATACAATATGCTCAGAAACAAATATGAAACAACCAAGTTGGTACTGGAGTGCTACCGATACACTATACAGAAGTAAATTATTTGAACATATTGGGAAAATACAACATTATGAGAATCTACCGCTTTAACTAAAAGCATTGATTTTGAGTTGCTATCTGCCATGCGAATTAGTTTTTGGTAAACCTACTTGGATACAACAGTGGGAAAATCCGGATATGACTTACTATAGATTTAGATGATTTTGATGTGATTTTGTGAATGTAATGTGCAGTGCTGACTAGGTGAGGGGTAAATCTGTTACAGCCTACCTAACCCTTTTTTTTTTCTTTTACACATCGAATACAATTTACTTAGCTAAGAAAAAAATTATATGCCTCAAATTTTAGCTCAATAGCATACAACAAGTTATGATAAATTCTTATAGGGAGGGTTTTAACAACAAACAGAAAAAAGAAGCTGGTTTAGGCATTGGAGTATTTTCTAGTTAAAATCAACCACTAACTAACAGTTTAACTCTCCAATTCATAATCCATGCTGAAATTTTATGAGCCAAAAAACAAAAATAAATCGCCAGTAGTTCTGTATAAAGTTTATAAGTCAGAAAAAGTAGGATAGTGGATAAGGTGAATAAAGTACTATCAAGCAGCTATTTTTCTTATTTGATAACTTCCAGACACAACTAAATAAATAATACAGTCTGAAAAGCTAGGATTACCTTGGAAAGATTCAAGGTAGGAGGAAGCATGGTAGGTTTAATCTTCAGAAGACATCTTTCTGTCATCTCTCTTTCCCTCTTATCGCTACTAAGAAGTCTTCTATAAATTACAGGAGCCCATATATTTGACGTATCTCTCATCTTGTCACTCAGTTGAGCCGCCAACTTTATCACTGCCTGCATGTTCACAATCATAATATTAGCTGGGAGTCTAAGAGCACGTGGTTGGCTCATCTTCACAAGGAACTTGTACCTGCATTGCTTCAAATGTTGTTGACAGAGAACCAATAGGATTGTCAAGAGCATGAATGATAGCCCTCAATAAAGAATGGAAGTTGCAAGCTAGAAATGACTCATTAAGTTGTTGCATAGATATACACCAAACTCCCAAATTACATACAGCCTGCAACCAATAGTGAACTTCATAAAATTTCTCATAAATATGCTTCTACCGGTAAAAATATAAATGATAGACAGTGAATAGATCTTGCCTTAATTTTGGTAGTTGTAATTAGCTTCACCAAAGATGCCACCACTAAGTGAGCAACATCCTCTGACATAGACACCAAGGGAGAATTAAAATTTTCTCTTTTAAATGTATTTTATTGAATGAGCTCATATAACAAACTGGATAAATATATAAGCAACATAGTACTCACAATTTCTCTTTGTAATCTATATGATTTACTTGTAATTCTAGCAAACTAATCAGCTTAAACTAACAAACTAGAAGATCATTAGACACAAAATAAGATTAATTTAGCAATAGTCCAATATACCCGAAAAAGCGGCAACAAGAGATGGATGGTAAATCATGAACCCCAAACACTTCAAAGCCTGAGAAGCACTGAAAATTTACAAAAATAACTGGAAAATCAGTATCAAATCTGGATTAAAAGACAGAAACATTTGAAAATCCCAAAGTCAGGAATCAACAATATAACATTAAAATGACTTACATTTCTTCATCTTCGACGGAAATATCGGCAATTATAGACAAGATAAGATGGCAAACATGTTTTGATAAAGCTTCAATTGCAGATGGGTGTTGAGTAGATTGTTCTTGAAGGTGTAGAAGAGTTGAATAACCGAATGATTTGTCTGATTTCGAATTAGATGTGATAAGGGTTTTGATTTCTTCAATTTGATTACTGAATTCCTCCATTATTTTTTTGCTGAAAACTTTGATTTACAGAAACCCTAAATGTGAAGGGAGACTGATGTTGGCGCCAAATACCTGCAACGATTAGCATTGGCGGGTAGTTTGGTGGGTTAGAAGGACAGGAGAGAGCATACAGGTTTAGCCTATTGGACTTTTTCTCAAATAATATAGTCCACTGGACTTAAAGATGCTGTTTAGAGTCCAATGGGTTACCCTCACGGTTCAAGGACTCAAAAAGCCCATGGAAAAGTACTGGCGAGTAGTGGACTACAGAAGAGCTTACAGGTTTAGCCCATTGGGCTATTGGGTTTCTTATAAATAATCTCGGGCACAGTGGGCTTAAAGATGGTGTTGGGCTTAAAGATGGTGTTTGGTTTTTGGAGAAAAATGGCGGTAAATTGTCTTATAGCGGAAAACAGCGGGAAAAGAAAAAAAAAACTTGTTAACTGAAAATTACAATATAACCCCTGTATTACCTTATTTAAATAAATAATTAGTCAGAGAAACGTTATTCATTCTAGGGTTTAAGAAACAGAGAGATGGGGAAGGAAGAGAACTACGCTTATCTCCCAATTAAAGATGCACTTGAAGCAATAAAACAGAAAGTAAATTTATTTGGAGTTATAACTGAGTATGGTCTTCCAGAGATGAGCAGAGGGACTGGTAATCAACTCACTTTTTTTTTTTTT